AGTGGATCGTAGGATTGGCCATTAAGAAGCTGCTTTACGGGCGAGAAAAGAGAAATTCTATTAGTCCGTGTCCCTAATTTTCTACTCACCATTCTACTTCCTATCTTTTTCACAGATCTATGGAAATATATTTTGGGGGAGTTGAAGCCAGAAAATAAGGGCGTGAAGAACAGGTGTTAGGTATTGTTCGAATCCTCGGTAGTCATCAATTTTCCGGGTGAAACTACTGTTTCAGATAATTAATACGTTACCTTGGAGGTACTTTTTCCTGTTTCTCTACAAATTTTCATATTAAGGCATAGAAGTGGTGGGAATCAACGATTAATCATCTCCGTGACTGTCTGAGGGTTTGGTGTAATATATAGGATTTATCAGTCATGTCTTGTAACCCTCATTTCCTGTTAAAAATAAATAAATGGTATATAGGTGTCTTGGATTACTCACGAGTTCCTGAAAGTTGTTTGACATCATGGCGTGCGACGGAATGTATGAGGTGACAAGGAGAATCAGTCGATCCTCCCAGGAATTGTGTGGCGCCTACTGTGATGAAGAAAAAAAAAAAGAAGCCAACAAGAAAGAAAATATTCAGTGGCTTTCAATTGCACTAGTGATGACATTGTGACTAATGACTCTGGGACTTGGAGGATACGCGTTGTCACTCGTCACTTGTTGGCTTTCCAAAGAATTTTATATATCTGCTGCAGCTCCATTTTTTCTTCACCAACTTACTCCTTACTACCAAATATTTTCATCCAGTTATTTTGAGCATCTCCAACAGATGCGAATTTATGGGATGCTCTTCTTTTATTGGTCAAATGATAGAAATAGCTGGATAGCTTTGAGGAATTTAATTGAGGTATCCGGTTGCATGAGGCATCAGTTATTGATGATAGGGATAAAAATTAAAGGGAAATTTTGAGGTAGGGGTTGGAAGGCTGGAAGGCGTCAGGTGCTGTCTATCCCAAATGGAAGCTTCGAGTTGAGTCATTTGGAAAATTCGGTTACGTCTAATGTAGAGGTGTTACCGGACCACCCATTGGGCGTTGGGTACCTTTAGTCACTTTTTCATAAAGGTCTAATATCCCTTTTGGTCTTTGTTGGTTGTATAAATGTGTCTTTGTCTTAAACAGCAATAACCCTCGTACCAGGTGGCACACGGCACTCGTCCTCTCACCCAACACCCCGGGAAGTCTTAATGAAGACGAATCTCACCTCGAAAAATGACCACCAAATTCACTTCCTGGCAATTCAATTTAAACACAGAGCGATAAGAATCCCCAATGTTTGTCTCTGTCAGGATGTAAGAGATTTTGGAAGGATTTAGGTGTAGAGAATAAATTTACAAAAATGAGCATTCGTCGGGGGATTTATTTTATTTTATTCACTGGTGATTGATATCACCGTGCTCCTCCTCATCTTAATTTTTCTGACTTTCCTGAATTGATGGGCACATTGTTCACCCGTCGACCTCATTGATATTTTCTTATCACAAACCAATCTGATATTCTACGAGAATTGCAGTGTATAGGTCTGACATCAATAGCCACAGCACGAACATTATCACAATGGGTTATTTGAAGAGCAGACAGTCCGAAGACGTCAGAGCACTCCTCCTAGCTGTGCACATTGCCAGGTTATGGAAGAAAAAAATATCGATCAAACCAAAAGCCGTCTCTACATCAGAGAAAAGATGTCTCAACAATTGCCAACTGACTCTCTCCCACCTGACACCAAAATTCCCTCCAACCAATTATTGATTTCAGCAACAATACATAGGTAAATACTGAAGAAAGAGACAACGGTGTGAAACCACCATGAAGACACAATCGTGAAGCGAAAATCAAGACGATAAATCTCTGACGTGCTATGCCCGCAGGGCTAAACGACTAAATAAGTGTTCCAATTTCAAAATTACCCGCTAAACGATTTGTGGCTCGGCAGAAAATATATCGTTGACATGTGGCCAAAGGTCCCCACTGCGCGGCCAGCCTCGGGGTTGGGTATCATTGGATAGGGAGATGGAAGAGGAAGAGAGATAGGAGGGGAAGAAAGAAGAAGTGAAAAGCAAGTTGGGGGAAGGAATTGGCTCCTGGGGAACGCCACCAACAAGAAATGTATCTGCCATCTTTCTTTTACATTGGAGAGTCAACCGAGTGTGGAGACAAATGGTTGTCTTCTCTACCTTGTGCGACCTTCGTCGGATGAGACTCCTGGTTGAAATTGCCTCATGAAGCTGCCCAATTCAACCGTGTCACTTTTCACTCGCCAGAGTGTTCACTAATCTTCCGGGTGTTCCACCTCAAAACTAATGATAGGCCTCAAAAAAAAAATTCCCCATTCCTTTCCCATTTTTTGTTTTTACTTCCGAATGGAAGCTTTGTATTCCGCCATATTCAAGTTCCCCATTTTTTGGTTTATAACAACTGTACACTGAGAGAAATATTCAATAAAAATTACGTGTTTTTTTTCGTAATTCTGGAGCGAAATGTGGTTGTCGGAAATTTTACGGAACTGTCACGTAATTTTTATCTAAAGTCATGGAATTTTTTCGCGGTGTTCCGTAATTTTTATCTGAATTATCGAAAAATAACGATACCGTTACTGAAATTTTTTGAATCAACTCCGTAATCGGTAAGTGAACTGAAAGTTCCGTAATTTTTACTAAATATTTCTCTCCGTGTAGCGTAAAATATAGCGTAAAAAACCCGATTATGCGGTTTTTTGATCGTTTGAGTATCAAAAAATTTGATAATTATTTTTCAATTTTCAGAAAATCCATTCGGAAGCTTGTCGCTGATTTTTTTTATTGCCCACTGGTTTTTCCTACTTTCGACATCACGAGCGTTCACGTACGCATAAATTTATCCATACGGTGTTTTTACGCTTCAGTGAAAGGTACAACGTTGAAAGAAAAGTTGGCCATTAGATTGAAACGTAATCAGATAATTAAGTTCATTGTTTCATTGAAGTGGAAACAATGATAATTTCAGTCATAGGTTATAAATATCTATCTATACACGATTTCGCTCGATTCGCACTGTCAAGCACGCAGTGAAAGAGAATTTTTAAGGATACGAAAATGAGCTAACGAGAACCCGTTAGCAAATCGTTTCTATAAAAGGGCGTACGTATACATGCATTTAAGTTGTCTCGTTCTTTTTGTCGTGAAATCAGCGTTGCGTTACGAATTGCCTGTGAGTAATTCGACTGAAACGAAAATGGCGCTCACGTTGAATTGTAATTGAATAGTTGAAATTTGTCTTCCTACATGGATAAAAAAAAAAAAAAAAATAGAAAATTAATGTACAGTTAGAGTGGTGCCAGTGAGGGGGATAAATTCTATAGAATTTGTTATACTTCATCATAAATCTTAATAACCACTTTGCTATCCACACTCTTAATTGAATAATTAAAATTTCTCTCAATTTTACGGAGGTATGGAGATTTCAGGTGATTGAGGGAAAATCCCTCAAATGAAACAACAGATTAAATAGTAAAGTGATAAAGGTAGCACCAAGTACAAATCAGTGAGGAAACTTGTGTGCCATAGCACGATACTGGCGGCAGATTCATAAACATCAAACGAATTAAATCTCCACGGAGACTCTGACCGCAGAAACTAATATCTCAGCAGCTCTGCGAACATCACTACATCTCTCTTCATCCCACGGTTGATAGCGTATGATTTTTTCCCTCATCGTTTGGCCAGAAAGCGAGAGAGAGAGAGAGAGAGAGTCAGCCATAAGCGAATACAGGCAATGATCTTGCTTATCCCAGCATCCCTGTAGCGTATATACTCCTCTACCTGCTAATAGTTGCGCGGCAAAATGGAGGTTGATGCTAAAGAGAGAAGCTCACCCCAGCTTGTTCGATTACCCTTGGCTTTTATCGTCCAGGACAAAGCCACCAAAATTTTATAGCTCAACATCGATGACAGAATTCACTAAAAAAATTGGTCAGGTGCATTATGCAAGAGACTCTTTCTATTGAAAATCATAATAAACTTCAGTGACAAAGGGCCAATGTGATACACTCGGTTCTCAATCATTCGATAGTTTCGACGACGCTGTGCGGTCTCGAATGGTTATCCTCATAACCAGTCCCATTCAGAGACGTATCGTTAACTCAAAAAATCCATTGCTCTATGTTCAAAGAATTGAATTTCAAGTCGTGATTTATTCAATAGAAAAAATTTTAAAAATTGAGGAATTGAATTTGGTAGCAGTGGGTATTTGAAAAGAGAGGGATTTGGTGGATTTGCGATTGAATGGTACACTGAGAGAAATATTTAATAAAAATTACGTGTATTTTCCGTAATCCTGGAGCGAAATGTGGTTGTCGGAAATTTAACGGAACTGTCACGTAATTTTTATCTAAAGTCATGGAATTTTTCCGCCGTGTTCCGTAATTTTAATCTGATTATCGGTGAAAAATAACGATACCGTCACTTAAATTTTTCGAATCAACTCCGTAATCGGTAAGTGAACTGAAAGTTCCGTAATTTTTACTAAATATTTCTCTCCGTGTATGGGATGATTTTGCGACAATACTGGTAATGTATTATATGCTGGGAAAAAGGTGGATAAAATTTTTGGTAGTGAGTGTACACGCGGGTTGTGCAGGTGTGACCGATGGCGGCGGCCTTTGATCCAACAAACGACGCGGCTACTTTGTCCAAGAGCGCACCTCTCTTCGTTTAGTTATAAACATTTCTCTCTCCCATCCATTTTGGTTAAGCTCTACTGTCTCAAACCGATTATATTGCCCTGTATGCAACACCTCGACTGACGGAGAATAGTCAAGATCTCGGTTTTCCCAACCCATCATATTCCACCCAGCAACGTCGGAATCGCAGAATATACCTTGGAATTCAGCGGTGTTCATGTGACTTTAAGAGGGGAATTTTCCAGATGTATGATTTGTGGCTGGATTTTACACACTTCTCAAACATAAAACCGTTCAATGTAGGAAGCTAATAATTTTCGTCTTATCTGTTACAGAGCAAGCGAATCACCTCAACTTGTTTAACAATCGACAACAACCCAAGAAGAAACGCAAGAGTCGAACAGCCTTCACGAATCAGCAGATTTTCGAGCTAGAGAAACGATTTCTGTACCAGAAGTATTTGAGTCCAGCAGATAGAGATGAAATAGCTGCTCAGCTAGGTCTGAGCAATGCCCAAGTGATAACGTGGTTTCAAAACAGACGGGCCAAACTCAAGAGAGACATGGAGGAACTTAAAAAAGATGTCCAGACTGTCAATCCCATGATGGTTGCACAGCACCATAAAACATTCTTGGAGAATGTCCAGGATCTTGGAATATTGAAAAAAAGACCACTACCAAGTTCCATGGATGAAAAATCATAAAAATTATTGAAATAAAAAAAAACAAAGTGATGTTTAAAATTAATAGTGAGACACTAAAGTCTTAATTATGCCAGTAAAAACTAAATCAGGCGCGATGATTATCATATTGTGAATATAACAAAAATTAAACATGAAGTCTGGGCAGTCGGCTGCGCCGTTGCAGCGAGACATTCACATGTATAAAGTTTTTTTAAATGTGTATTATAGTGTAATTTATTAAAAATGGAGAATGCTATTCCACTGAGGAATTTCCCTTCTTCAAACCAATAATTAAATTATTAGTAATGGTACTGTAGAAAGCGTAAATTATATACCATAATATTGTTCACCTAAAAATGGTTTTTGGGGTATGAATCAAAATCCAGTGTATATATTCTGTAAATAAGCAATTGGAGATAATGCAAACAGTGAAAAAAAAAAAGTATTTCAATAGTCAGATTTTCTGATAATTATGTAACGTATAATGGAATTTATTCGTAATATACGATTTCATTGAAGAATTATAAAAGAATAGATGGGACACTGCGCAATATATCCTTATAATTGTCAGTTTCAATTAGATGCTTTTTTGTCAAGTCTTTTTGAATGAAAACATTATGAAACAAAAACCAAATGGACTTGCAACTTCATTTCCCCTGAGAAAACCATGAGAATAAAAAAAGTACGAGTTCAGAAAATGCGTACAACAATTCGGGCAAGTAATAACAATTGAGAAGAAATTCAATTGATTATTGAAAAAGCTTCAACCATTAATTATCAGCCATGTTTAACAGTTGAGGGGGGTTTTTGCGGTGGGGCGGGTTTATTGAAGGAAAAAAAAATCAACGTTTAAAAAAAAGGAGAAAATTCCGCAGTCGAACGACAGAGAAACACGCAAGGCGATTATTTTATCCTCGAAATAACGCTTATGATGTGTTACAGTGGTATGAAGAGAGCGAGAATTCCAGGAATTTCACGAGCTTTTGAAATGCCTTGGTGTGATCTTTTTCAGCAGTGTTGCAAATTCATTTGGAGCTTTACACAGCAGCAAAATATAACGCAACTAAATTGCATCTGGAAGATAGCATATTGGGGTAAATGTCTCGGCTGACATAACATAGGCCGGATGTTACTGATGGAAATTTCGTGAAACACGTCTTCCGCATTGCCGGAAACACAAATTACATTATTTCGAAATTTAAATGAAACGTGAAGGTGTGGAATACCATTACGTCTGTAATCGGTGAGAATTAATGAAATAACATATTGTTTCATCTGTCCTATCGTCGGGGAAAAGTATAAAGTGGAGTGTGTAAGCACAGCTTTTACCCTTCCTTCACTTCACGCCAGGAATATGTATACCCTTCCAGATTTTTCACAATTTGTTCCTCACTCCATTATTATCACTTAATACTACAGCGGAATACAAAGAAATACAATATATCAAGGGGATTATTTATTCCCTCCCTCGTCGCCGCGTTGGCGTCCCCAGAATTTTCTAACAAATTACTAAGTTTTATATTCCGAAGATTGCAGTGCAAGTTGTGCAATTCTTTAACCACCGATATAAATAATTATTCAAGAAAAAAAAGCCTCAAATTTTCCAACAACTCCAAAGTCTTTTTTCACTTTCTACACGAAATTCGCTAGCAGGCGTCACGTAACCTCTGATCGTCATCCTCCCAAAAAATCGCCGCAAAATACACCGACAGTTAACGAACCCCCAAATGATTAACCCTCTTAGAAATTACTCTGAGAAGGACCCTCGCAACTTGTGCCCAATAATTTCAATGCAAACCCCTAATTTATTCTGAAAAAAAAAAAAACTGACAAAATTTTCAAACGCTCATGAGCCTCCCCTCGCTTCGTCATCCACTGTAAAAAATATTACCTTCCATGAAGAATTAATTAATAAATTAATTAAAACTAAGCATATCATAGAAGATACATATCAAACGGTGAAAAATATATAGCGCACTAGACTCGATAATTACTTTATCTGGTGAGACGTTTGAGAATGGAGTATATCTACTTGTGTGTATCCTCGTGCGAAGTAAATGGACCAATATTAGTTTTTTTCACTCGTGACTACCAGAATGAAGGAATAAACACCGAGCCCTCTGGACATTGTTACATTTAATATTTTTATCCTTTTGTTCCAATCGCGTGCTGACGATTTTGTTTGGTATAAGTGCGACGGTAGTTCGTAGCCATCGCCAATATCGAGGTTCAGACACCATGTATGAAGCAGTAAGCAAGGTAGCCCATGCCGCCCTGTAATTCAGAGGCCGCTGCATCCAAATAAAGAATTCATAATGGCGACGATGATCACCACCAATTTTCTCAAAATATATTTCCATTCACCAATAACTCAACCAATTTGATAATTCTCTCATATCAGTCTCTCTCATATGCATATCACGAGACAATTCATTCAACATTGATTTTTCATTTTACCATAACAATAAATTACGTAATAATCATTGTTACACTGATAACACCAAAATCACCCAAAGTACTTGACCATTAACGACTCGTTGGTGAATATAACGATATATCGTTTTATCTTGCCAAAGATCCGCCACTTAACGGTTATAAACTATCACTTTGCATAACATCATTGGATATCGACACGCCTCCGTAATTCGGAATCATTTACCTGTTGACTGGTGTACATATACTGGTAGTGGATATGTATTTGTCTGACTACTCTCAATTTTCACATATCAGTCATGATGTAGCCCATTAGAGGAGAGAGCATCGGTAATTTTCGAAGTGCATGACACGCGATGCGCAACTTTTCAATAATTAGACGTGACTCTCATGATGATACTCTTTATCATTACATGATTTTTCTCGCGTTGAATAACAACAGGGAGCTTGAGCAATCACAATTATTCGGATAATCATCAGATTCGAGGATAAATATTGGTGACTATGTGTAAGTGGAGAAATTTAGAAGAGGGTTGGGGTGAATGAGACAGCTGATGGGCCACCGTGTCCCTGGAGGCTATTGCCGAGATGGCCAATCAGTGTAAGGCCGTCAAGTCCCGTCCTCACTCTAATGACACCTAGAGGCTAAAAAGCCATGATATTAAACAATTGGCCGTGCGCCAACACTGCGCCAACAGATTACTCGAGCGATGTACCTCAGACAATTTGATAGAAAAACAGAGTGAAAAAAAAAAGTCAATATCAAGAATACCAGAGAGTCATCAATAGTGGCTGGTTGATCGAGTCACACGAGAGGGTATATAGGTGGCATAGGTTAACGCTAAGAGGATGCCGCGCGCTCATGACCAGGATACCTGCCAAGAAGAGGCTTTAGCCCAGCGGCTTTAGGCTCCTGATTACAGAGCTCAACGGGCGCGATCCCTTGTACACTCTCGCTCTCACCTTTGTCCCACTATCGTCTTATTAGCCTCTCCCTCCTCTTTCCCCTATTCCCCCTCTTCCCCCTCTTCCCCCTCTTCACCCACCACCCCCTCTTACTCCACAACTCTTATCCAAGTTCGCTCTAGTTGGTTAAATGTTAAAGGCCGCTTTGGTGCAAGCAGATGGATAAATATCTCAGGAGCTGATGATCCAGGATCATGGACCACCCGTCAATTCCAGGCGTGGCACAATCATCCCGATCAAGTCACATATATCTTCTTCCTCTCCTCCTGCTGTCTATCAACTGCTACTAAAAATTCCCCTAATTGTACACCACCATTAGACCAAATTGATTCTTCACCTTGTAGTTGATGATTTCTTCTATTTTCTTGGGTATATGAGGGCTCTTTGTTTGGCGTAGTGTTGGATTTCCATAGAAAGAGGTGAGGTAAGGTGTAAGTTGATGTTTAGGGATATAGTTGAGGTACACATGTGCACTGGCACGTCTGGCAGTCACCCGGTGGCGTGTGTACGGCGGCAGGACGAGCCCAGATTAGAGGCCACTGGGATAATTAAGTAGCGCTCTCGAATAACGCGCAGGTACCGAGTCTCAAAAACTACGATGATATTCTAGAACAATAACTTGTGCCTCAAAACATCAGAAGAGATCATTTATATTTCGCAAAAAAAAAGCCAACACGGAAATTGTTGAAGAGGCTAGTCCACTCTGAAATATCAATAAATATATTATATAATAATAATATATTATTCCATTGCGTGATAGAGTAAAAAAATGAAACTTGACTTTTTCCATAATACATAGTAAAATAAAAAAAAAATGTAATAAAATCATTTGAAAGAGTAGAGGTGTGATTTTGACGTGGCTGAAAAGAGTTAGCCGCAGAAAGTCGAGGAGAAAAAGAGAAATAATATAATACACTGGATAAAGCGAGAGGTGTAGATACGAGTGAAGGTGAAGAGGGGGTAAGAAAGGCTGAAGAAATCGGGTGGGGAGGAAGATCAAACGAGCCGACGAGCCACGGGGTGGTCTCTACCCGCGTTCCTTTTTCCACTCTTCCTTCTCCATCGCTGTTCAAAGCCGCGGCCGTACCTCATACTATCCAACTCCTTTTATACTCCTATATTATTTATATTTTCACCTTACAACTTGTCGCACATTGTACAGGCTGATGTTGTCCATTGAGCCCCATCAAGTCTCCAGAAATAAGAGAAATGGGGAAAAGCCCATTGAGGGAACAACCAAGATGGAAGAGAACTAGAGAAGGAAAAGTCTTGAGAGCCTCATGAGATCTAATGATAATCACACACCCAATCGTGATGACGGCATTTTAATAATAAATTTCCAACAAATCACGCGGGGGTTAGGTTGCTATTTTAGGGTGGGGTGGAGGGGGGGTGATTTTAGTTGCAAATGCACGAAGCGCCGGGAGATCCGACAAAGGCCTCAAAAGAAAGACCGCGCGTCGCCGTCCACCTCCCCTCGAGGCATATAACATATACATGAGAGAAGTTTAAAATGTGTAGGCACATATTCACTCCTCCTCTCCCTCCTCTTGTGGCAATCACTTGTGAGCGTCTCTCTGTTATTTCTCCACACCTTAACCATTATCATACAAACGTCGATGATGACGGTCACACCGGAAAAGTTTTATCCTCATTCTGCAGGGACAAGAGACGAGAAATGATCTCAACCTTTCATTAACAATGCTTTGTAGAGTTTATATTCTAGGGAAATATTCTAAAGAAATTTGAATTGAAGCACGCAGAGGTAAATATACCGGGGACCAGGTGGTGAGAAATTAGTGGAAAGAGCTGAGGATTGAGGGTAGACCCTAATAACGCTCACCGGATGCTATCGACGCTATGTTCCGACACCTCTTGTTCTTTCAGCCCCATCATTTTTTTTTTTTCTCTGAGCGTTGAGGTAGAGATGGAGGCCCGGTTCGTATTACCCTGGGCATCTATAGCTCAATTTGCCGACACCTCGCTAAGTATAGGTTGGGTGGGTGGTCCTTGCCATGGGATCCACGAGGCTGACGCGCGAGAGGGCTCCTCACTTGAGCTAATCCACTTTGGAAATCATCGGATTAGGCATCACAAAAATTTATCCCTTCGCATTTTACTGATCTTGTCTCTCCTGACCACCACGCGACACCATGATGCTCCACCTATTCTCAAAAT